TGCAGTGTAGAAGTAGCCCTAGAGTTTTTGGCTAGTTGTTCTTCAGATTCCTTTTTGCCTTTCTAATTCAATATTTACATGTTATTTGACAGTTTATGCGCCTTTTCTATTTTCCTCACTAGGCTTTAATGTCTACTTTTTAAATGATGCCTCTTTATCTCTCACTGCTTCTTTTACTTGGTTGTTTAGCCACCGTGGCACTTTTTTGGTTCTCTTACTGTATTTTTCTAATTTAGGGTATACATTTAAGTTGAGCCTCTATTATGTTGTCTTTGAAAAGTTTCCATGCAGCTTGCAGGGATTTTACTTTTGGCACTGTACCTTTTAATTTCTGTTTAACTAACCGCCTCATTTTTTGTGTAGTTCCCCTTTCTGAAATTAAATGCCACGGTATTGGGCTGCAGTGGTATTTTTCCCACCACAGGGATGTTGAATTTAATTATATTATGGTCAATGTTTCCAAGTGGTGTAGCTATATTCACCTCTTGGACCAGATCCTGCTCTCCACTTAGAACTAAATTAGGAATTGCCTCTCCTCTTGTGGGTTACAGAACCAGCTAGTCCAAGAAGCAGCCATTTAAAGTGTCAATAAACTTTATCTCTGCATCCCGTTCCTGAGGTGACATGTACCCAGTCAATAATGGTTGAAATCCCCCATTATTATTCAGGGGATTTCAACATATTTTTAAAAATATGTATAGCCTAAGTAACATCCCCTAGCATTTAACAGTCACTATTACTATCCTGGTCAGGTGGTTGGCAATATATCCCTACTGCTGTATTCATATTACTAGAGCAGGGAATTATGATGCATAAAGATTCTATGGAACAATGTGGTTCATTTACGATTCATTGGTTCAAATCATAGACGGTACAAAAATAATCAAAAATTTGTATTATAGCATATGAGATCAGTGACTTTTGTTACTGAAATATATACCAAATTACATCCTATATGGTCATGATATAGTACATGCTACATCACAGGCAGCCAGAGCTGTGCCATCGATAGGGCGAATCAGGGCAGCCGCCCCAGACCATCACTTTTGGGGACCCTATGGCAGCTGCCCCAACCATCCTATGGAGAGAAGGACCAGGGGATTACTGGGGCCTGGCACTGTGGCAGCAGCAGGGATCATCTCCTCTCACCCACTCACTACATGGATGGTAGGAGCTGGAGATGCCCAGCAGCCTGCTCTGCTGTGCCCCATCACCCTCTCCTGGCCTTCTCTGAGCTGCTTCTCAGCAGCAGTGGGACCTGTTTGGCCCTTTAAACTGGGGGTGGGGAACCTTTTTTGGGTCAGGGGCCAATGACCCAAAGTGAAATCAGTTGGGGACCACTCACAAGTGAGAAGCAGGAAAAAAAAACACCTCACAGTTAGGGTTGCCAGTTCCCAGTATTGACCTGCACAGTTTGATATTTTCGCCTCCTGTCCGGTAAAAAATATCAGAAAATAGGCTGTCCGGCTCAAAACAGAGGCAGCCTGGCAACCCTAGTGCTTACTGGGGAGCTGTCAGGCTGGCACAGGAAGGCAAGATGGCAGGCGGCAACTAACCTGTTAGGGCCAAAAAGCCTCACCACATGTTTCTTAAAGGGGCCTCACTGATTTTTTTTTTTTTTTGATTAACAACTCTACAACTGTCGGGGTCCTTTTTTTTCCATTTTTTGTTCACGATTTCTTCTGAAACCATCCCGCAATCTATCCCCTGTGGCCCCGACTGAGACGCAGAAAGACACTCCGCACATTCCCCTCGCATGCCCGAGTCGGGGGTCCCAGCCTAGTAGATTTGTGTGTGCTCCAGCCCCCCGGAGAGCACCAGCGCAGGCTCCCCGATGCTGGGGCGGGGGGCCCTGAGCCAAGGGGGCCAGATCCAGGCAAGCCAAGGGCCACATTCGCCCCCGGGGCCTTCCCTGTTTTAAAAGCTGGTTACCAGCATTGGAGAGATGGCACAGCCCGGTGCCCCGCCCTACGCTGCATGCTCACAATCTATGCCCGACCTTTTCCCCCGGAGAGCACCAGCGCAGGCTCCCCGATGCTGGGGCGGGGGGCCCTGAGCCAAGGGGGCCAGATCCAGGCAAGCCAAGGGCCACATTCGCCCCCGGGGCCTTCCCTGTTTTAAAAGCTGGTTACCAGCATTGGAGAGATGGCACAGCCCGGTGCCCCGCCCTACGCTGCATGCTCACAATCTATGCCCGACCTTTTTTTGTGAGGGGGGGGGCCCTGAATATTGGCCCAAAGGGTTGGTGCTGCATTTGCAACCCGTTAGCCTGAACCCTAACTCTGGCCGGGATGTTGCTCTGAGGTCTCTGAGACTC